GGACATGCTGAACTCTGCACCCACCGCACCGATTGATCTCACTGCAGAACAGGCTGGCGAACCCGAACCTGAGGAAGACGATGACGAGGTGGATGACGGCAGAGGATTTCTGTCATCCATGCTTTCGGAGGGTGGAATGATTGGTGAGCTGAAGGTACGAAAGTCTGGCAAGGTTGAGCTAGACTGGGGTGGCCAGATTCTAGAAGTGAGCCCAGCTACGGCAATGAACTTCTTAACGACTGCGGTAATAGTGGAAGAAAATGACTCCAAGGTCGATCCCAACACTGTCGGGGGCGAGAGTGTGGGAATGGGAAAGATCATGGGCCGGTTCGTCCTTGCGCCTGTTTGGGGTGAAGAAGACGACTGGGAGGTCGCGCCAGAGGAACTGGTAGTAGATGAAGGCACGGCAAATTAATGAGCGAAAAGTGTGATAAACAGGAGTTCGGATCATGTATAGCTTTCTCTCTGTGCAATCGCAAGGGCATAAAAGGTCAAAATTGGGATTAATAGAAGAAATAAAAGAGAAAATACTCTCTCTTGGTGACTTTGTGACGCTAAGAAGATCTCTCAACCCAGATTAAATACCCTCTGGGCAATTATCCTCACAGGTTTGAATATCCAACATGAGGCTCTCCTTTCTCAACTCCAAGACCTTGTTGGCCATTAGGAAAACGAACCGCCACACCGAATCACTGAATAACATTAAGCAATAAAATTAAGGCGATCCTCTCACATCCTTTTCGCCAAATGTCTAGTCTCCATAGTTTGCCGATAGTCCCATCTCCAAAGCCTACAAGGCTACATGCGGCGCCCACTCCAGCCCCCCAGAGGTTCTGTTCCAGAGTGGCCAGCATGTAATCTGCCTTCCGGATCCTCCCAATACTGTGAGGATGCGATCTGTGAAAGGGAAGGCTCTTTTCCAGTATCATCGAGTTGCACATGTTTCGACTTGGTGTCGTCGTGATGGAAACAGAGGATGGTAGCCGGGCGAGTGTCGTGTGTGAGCGGCATGTCACTGATGCCATAGAACTGGAGAAATCGCCTCTGTCGGTCTGGCCGAGGTTCCAGTGCTTGCAGGTGCACGCCTTCAATGTTCTCACAACTGTCCGAGGATTCAAAGCCTCGGACACGCAAGACACGGAGAAGGGGGCGAATAGTGGCCAAGCTCGCAGCTATGATGGCAAGGCCAGCCTCGATGATGGTCCATATCATAGCATCTGTGCCAGCATCTTCGTCAAAGTCAATTTTTTATCAATATAGGTAGTGGATCAGTTGGTTATGTGATGGGTATGGGTACATACAAAGCACATCGTCGATGTTGGCCATGGTTGGAAGCAATCGGATCCGAAAGATGGTTGCCACACTTGCACTGCTCACGAATCAGCAAGGCAATTGATGTGTGTTTTTGCAGATAGGACGAACAAGATTCCCATTCCAAGAATCAAAATCACAGTCACCTTCGCCTGTATAGTCATTTTGACCTTCCGAACCATTGGAATAGGGATCAGGGCCTAGCGACAGGTAAGCGGCTCTCCTGTTAGTCTTCTTTCGTTTTGTTACAGCCTCCAGAGAGAACGGCAACCGGTACAGAAGGTCTACTCACATAGAAGAAGTCCGTCAGTATCGTGATGGCACTCATGACGTACGCCACGACAACAATCCCATCCGGCTGAACACACTGCCCATCCGCAATACGATAATCCCATTGCTTCTCGACTGGAATACACTGGAAGATATTCCAGAAGAAAACTACGGCACTGGAGATGAAGATAAGTGCCAGACTCGTCCGGATTACTCGCGCGTACATTGTCATATGAATTGTGATGCGTAACAAGAAGTATCCAACACTCAGTTTGATCAACAGCATCAGCGCGATATACATGGTGATTGCCAGAGCTTGCCACTTGGCCAAGTCAACATAATCGAAGAAGTTTTGAAGTTCGTGCATCTAACTCTCACCTTGAGTGCAGCGACCTCACGATCGGCATCCTCTATAGCGGCATTGTGACGCCCTATGCCAGCCTCAAGCCCAGCATAGATAAAGCCTGAGTAAACTGTGAAGGTCACCTTGTAGACAGTCAGTTGAGAAAGGAAACCCCCCATTACCAAGTCAGATGAAATATTTGTAGCACTCACTTGTGCTAGTAGCATGATCCAATCATCGGTACGAAAGGAACGAATCAGATACGCCCTGGTATACGTTCGGAGAGTGACAGCAACCCATGACAAGGCCAAGAAGATAGAAATCGTTATCAGCAGGCGTGTGCCGTTCGTCTCGGAGAGATCAACGCCGGGATTCTCCATCACTAATCCTGGAAAAAAATGTCAAGACTTATTCCTTCGGATGGTTAGGAGAGGAGAAGAAGTCTTTTGAAGTCGATCGGCCACGAGCGAGCGATATAAACCGCCCCGTCTTAGCCATTGGTAATGGAGCAAGCAACGAGATGAATTCAGGTCCACCGCATCTGCAAGCAAGTGAACAAAGCTATCAACATTGAACTCGGATCATGACCTCGTAAAGGATCCATATCAACCAAGCAAACTCCAGTGGCTTTGGCCAAACTGGTCTACAAAAGGCGTCTGTAGTATCGAGCCAGTACCAAGTTCACGCCAGCGTAACCCAGCAGATCGTGAGCGCACAACGTTTCTCTTGCATCATGTCACAGGAAAGAGGGAGAGCAACAAGCAGCTATGGAAGCATGAATAGTTTGTGCGTCATGTAGGTACAAACTAGGGATCGTGAACTGGGCAACCTCCCGACATTGTATAACAATACATCAGGATGTCCCTAGCCGCCAATTGCGGAGGGGTTAGAGGGGCAGAATTAGCAGGATCTCACACCTTGCCGGGGACTAGCTATGCACCGGGCTCGCCTTTCCTTTGTGTAGCCGTAGCACAGAGTCCGGAGCATCATACCATTCCTATTCGATTGGAGTCCAATCAAAACGGGTGTTAGACAGTGAGGCTGTTCACAGAAGAGAGCATGTTTTTGTGTAGTGAGTACCTGGTAAGCATTGATGCGGCAGCTGCTGAAAAACAAGGGCCAAGAATTCACCAACTTGATACTATACCCAACATCACAACACATTAAACTTCAGTCTTTTTGCCCGGATACGAGTCTTACACCCGGCCGTACATAAGGTTCAACACCAATAATACCTTGTGCCCGGCATGATGACTCTTTCGTCGGCGTGACTCCTTTTATGAACCTTAAGATGCTGCGTTCTATCTATTTAAAGGCTGCTATTCCCGGCCTGACTATGCCATACAGCTCAAGTCCACATCGACAATCCGTCCATTGCATCGCTACTCAGTCAAGTCAGCCGAGTCTCGCACATCGCTGCCTTCATCGCTCCAACTCAAGTCTCAAATATCCCGCTGAGCCTGCGCTTGCCATCGAATCTCGCCCGATTTCTGCTCTGAACTTGACCAACCACAAATACAAAGATGCCAAAGAGCAAGCTGCAGATGGCAGTGCCCGTCATTAGGGATGGGCCTAGATAACTGCTAGTCTTAGGGCTTCCTAAGATAAGTACCTAAATACAAGCAATCACACGCTGATAGGTGCTGCCAAGTCAGTCGGATTAACTAAGACCCTATGCTCAAGTTGAGCGGACTACATAGCTTGCTGTTTGAGACTAAGTTCCAAAGGCTTCTAGGTCTTAGTGAATCCAACTGCCTTAGCAGTACCTATCAACTTTTGATTACTTGTATTTATCTTAGGAAGCTCTGGAATTAACAAGTCATCCAGCTGGCCATTCCTGATAACGGGTACTGCTACCTGCGGTTCGCAAGTTCTGAAGGCTTCTGGGTCTTGGTTAACCCTACTGCATGTACTTGTGTTTAGTGTCATTGAACACAACAACGAAATCGTTTATGATCCAGGTATAGGGATTTGTTTCAGGTGTGTCAAAGACAAGTATGACAGGCACTGCTTATTCGTCGCTAATAAGCCCGGTTTTCAGCTGAGTGATTGATCAAAATGATGTATCTCATAGACCAAAAAAGGCCGCAATGTGCCACCTGCACCGAGTCCAAAGCGCTTCTCACGCATGAATAGTCGCACAACATTTGCAGATCAGAGGCGAGGTCGCATGAAGACGGATTCAAAAGGGGAAAGGAGGCGCATACATGTTATTAGCACCTAAACCTAAATCAACCAGAAGCACAGGCAAGGGAAAAAGAAAACCCCAGGACACTCGGGTGTAACTGCGACAGGTTGAGTTACGGACCACCTGCTGTTTGACGATGGTTTTGAAGGACTGATGAAGCCCGCTGGAGACGAGGCTATTGCAGCGAGTTGCTCTAGCTACCTATGTTATCCTGCGCCAACACCATGGCATGGAACATTACAGTGATGCGACGGCGCATAATAGGACGGATAGTCACCTAATTCTAGCGGCTATTGCACTGGTTAGTGGTCACCAACCTATCCGCATCCCCCATCCACAGCATGGATCCAATGCGACGGCGGATACCACGGGAGCGGCTGTAGAACCATCCACGATATATAACGCAACAGAACGATCCGAATCCCAACTGTAGTACCTGGGACTAAGGTGCTACAAGCCAAAGGCCGATCCATCCAGAACCCCGCTTCGTGTACACCCACCCATTGAGCCTGTATCTCTCTTTCACGTGCCGCCCAAACACAAGCAGCCCAGTCGCATCACGGCCAACAATGGATCAGCTCAGGCACACGCGCCACTCCTACGGCGACAATGTGCGCCAGCGGATAAGTGTATGGGAGCCATCATCAGACATCAAACCACAGTCAGATGGCGTCTGGGCCATGTAAGCAACCCAAACCGAATGAGTGAAGAAGAGCTCTGAGTTGACCAACCCGCCCGTCCTGGCGCAGCTTCATCCACGGGGGCGCATGGGGTGACCCCACAAACACCGAGGAGGACTTCATCCCCTCCATCAAGCATGTGCTCGCCTCATACGGCAGCTTAGCTCAATCTCCCATACGCAGCTTCGCAAGCATCGACTATAGGCTCTCACCACATCCCAAACACCCCCAGGGACCTGAAACCCCCGCGTCGGAGCTGCGTGCCGCCAAACACCCGGACCACATCAACGACGTTTGGTCCGCGCTCCAGTTCCTCGTGCAGGAGTACGACCTCGCCAGCGGCAGGTACATCCTCGTCGGCCACTCCGCCGGTGCTACCCTCGCGTACCAGCTATGCATGGGTAGCTACGTGCTGGATGGTCAGGTACCACCGCCGTCAGTACCGCTGCCGACGACCATCATCGGCATTTCTGGCATCTACGATCTCGACGGCATTGACCAGCGTCACGGCGGGAACTATGCTGGGTTCATCACGTCTGCATTTGGCAGTGACAGGTCCAGGTGGCGGATCGCCTCGCCCGCCTGCTGCCCAGATGGCCACATCAGTGGGCGCAATCTGCCTTCGCACAATATTTTGGCCTGGTCGCCCGAAGACACACTTGTAGATGAGCCTGAGATTGATGAAATGGTCGCCAAGCTGGAGGCCAGCAATGCCAATCTCTTGACTCTGAAAGACCTGACGGGGGAGCACGACCATGTATGGCAGGAGGGTTCACAGGTATGTCGCCTCATCAACTTGGCTCTGGAACATTTGGAGAAATCTCCATAAAGGTAGGTGATACGGAATTATAAACTAAAACCAAATCAAAGATAAAAAAATATATCCACATTATATATTATCCAATCTCAAGCATGTTTCTGGCTGTAAACCCATCCTCTCCCTCATTATGACGAACCACATATATTATTTTGATTTCCCATAATCTACACATCAGTCTCTTCCTCTTCCCAATATGCATGCCCAGGACCTCTCACAGCCTAGCCTTGAACTTCAAGCCAACCGCAGCCGTGCGAGAAGCAAACACAGCCAGTGCCGCCCCAAAGGCGAGCGTCCCACCCCATACCTGCGCCCATTTATAGTCGCCCCCCGACTGGTCGATGATGGCTCCCACCGTGGGAGGCCCTGCCAGGGTCGCGAAGCCGGACAGCGTCGACACCATGCCGAACCTCGTCCCCATCTTCTGCGGGTCGCTGGTCAGGCTCGCCAGCGCACCCACGTAGACGCCCTGCGTGGCGCCCACCGCCAGCCCGTAGAAGACGCTGAAGATATACATGGCCGCCCGGGTCTGTATGGTCATCCACAGGTACGTGATGGTCCCCATGTAGCACAGAGCGATCAGGTACATGTTGATTGGGCCCAGGAGGTTGTCCGCCAGGTACCCGACAACGATGCGAGCCGGGATGCCGAGGGCGTTGGCGATGAGAATCATGCTCACGGCCTCTTGTGGAGAGAACCCGATCACGGTTCGAGCATAACTGTTAATCTACCACGGTGTCAGTATCAACTGGCTAGTATTCACACGAGAAATGGGCTTGGACGTCAACCGGCTTACATAGAAGAACCCAAAATACAGGGTATAAAAGTTACAAAACGCCCCGAGAGTGAACAGGGCATATGTGCGTTCCTTGAAAGCACCCCACTCCACGAGGGGCCCAGCCTTCCGCGGGGGAAGATACGGCTTCAGGAGGAGGTTGGCAACCCCCACGATGAACAGCGCGACAAACGCAGCGCACCGCACAGCCCAGGGAAACCCGACCTTGGGGATCAGGTACTGGACGATGGACGGGAATACGACGCTCCCGACCGACGTGCCGCACGCGGCGATGGCGAGCGCAAAGGCCCGGTTCTTCTTGAAGTAGGAGCTGAGGGTCGTGATGGCCGGCATGAAGGCGATGCCCAGCCCCAGCCCCGTGCAGACCCCCTGAGCGAGGAAGATCTGCCAGTACTTGGTGGCGAGGCTGACCATGAAGGTGCCCAGCACCGCCAGGCCGCAGCCGCCGACGACGCAGTGCCTCGTGTAGCCGGCGTCGGACAGGCGACCCGAGACGGTGCATATCCCAAAGGTCAGGAAGATCTGGATGGAGCCGATCCAGGATACCTGGGACGAGGGCAGTTTGAGCGTCTCGACGTAGTACAGCTGATATACGCCAAAGGCAGCGGGATACCCCCAGCACATGGCATTGATAAGCATGGTGGCGAGGACTTGGGACCAGGCGAGGAGGCCCCGGTCAGGCGGGTTGAAGTTCCCATCGGCATCGTGGTAGGGGACTGGCGCGTCCGTGTTGGAGATTGTTCGCTCGACGGGGGCCGACCGCACATTCTTCTCCTCGTCTTCCGCCATGTTGAACTTATTGGTCAGGGTATTCGTGACAGTAGCCTATGCCTGGAATCGTCCTCGGGATAAGACGACAGTCTACGGATATTTGGATCATTGGATAGTTTTCACGGATGTTAGATGAACAAGAACAATGATTACAGGTCATCCACGAATTTAGTCACCGTCGCATTGAGGGGAGAATACATATATATTAGTCCTCTCCGGTGTCGCTTTCCTTTCTAAACTAAACCGGGAATAACAAGCGAAATCTTCACCACCTTCGCGCCCTATCTCTCCAAATGTCGGCCACAAAGACCGTCCTCCAACCACCTTCCCCACTATAATCCATCGCAGATTCCCCCGAGGTGGGGCTGACAAGGTGAAGGGTAGGTTCCCAGTTGGTTCAAATATCCAGATTGTGTGGAGTGCATCGCACATCAATGTTGGCAAGTCAAGCCAGAAGCCGATGGCAGTCCGCGAATACGCCGCGCCCTTTGGTTGACGATTGGAGGTGAAGCTGAGCATGTTGCGACCTACCTGTTTGCGGCAGGCCGTAATTATCTAAGCAGGTGAGGCCACTAACTTCCACCAGCAAAGGGTTTCAAGGGGTCCGAAAACAGAATGCGCCAATGTCAATTAGAATGGCGCGACCGAGAAAAACGAAGATTACAAATACCGACGAAAGCATCATGAAAAAACCATCAAATGAAGTTAATAATTCTCTCAGATCAGAATCGCGAAAAATATCACAATGCCTAGCGCCATTTGACCCTACTCGTACTCACCCGAGAGTTTCGCAGGTCCCTGATCCGGCGAGCTGGGGTTTAGGGTACGCCGCCACTGTTCAACTCCACAAAACTCCGGCCGGAGCGGGGTCCCGGGTCGGACATGGCCTTCCGTGCAAAGAGCCCAAAAAGGAAATCGCTCTCTCACCGCCCGATGCCATTTGTGGGCGCACTGCGATTTCAGTCACCGCCATTTCCTCGCCGCCTACCGACCCTTAAAATTCCGAAAAAATTATATCCTACTTCAAAATTGCATTCGACGCCAGACTCTAATTTTTTTCATCGTGCCGATGGGGGGACCTCGAAGCATGCGATTTGTTATGCTTTTTGTTTGTTTTGATCAAAACATTACCCCTCCGAAACGCGGGGCAAGTAAACAAGGCGGTGACGTAGAACTGGCCCGGATAGGAAAGACGGCGTGGATCTGTTCGTTTGTCAGCGTCTCTAGCCAATAAGCCGTTGGCAGTTGTCGCGGTATCTGCAACCAATCAATGACCGCATTTGGCCATGTCAGCGATCTGGACCAATCGGGTGTTATTTTGGCATGGAGCCCCTGCAACCGGGGTTTGCCGAGCCGAGTGCGTTAGTCCAGATAAGGTTAGATTAAACAGTCAACTTGAACCACCACCCGCCACTCGAAAAGATCTGTCTTAGCGCCGATCAGTACACAACTTTGCTGTCGCAAATCAGAAATGGAGTGATAGCTTTGTGTGTGGTTTTTTATCTTATCTGCCCAAATGGCGGTGCAGGCAACCCAGTATTGGCGTCGCCTGACTATCGATTGCTCTGCACGTATTGGCGCACAAGGGGCGCAATGCCCAGGAAAAATAATGCGCTGGATGCACAAATATCCGAATTGCGAAAGCAAATGTATTCCAATGCGCGCGCATTAGAGCATCTCATCTCCAAGTAAGGGTACACCACCGAATCGCTAGCAGAGTTAAATGGCACAGGATTTTCAAATGACAAGTTTTTTGAGTGAATAAGACATGCAGAAAATCAAAGTATTGGAAACAAAAACAAGTCGCATGCTCCTTCGAGCCTGTCCTTGACTGGCGGACAGTTCTACTCATCCAGACCACGCGCAAACCGCCGCCATTTTTGTAGCCCTATTGCGATACCAATCCCCGTTAATCACCATTGCCCTCCTTAACGCGCACCCTATGTAGAGCGTGAGGATCCCTCGGTTGCCCCTTTTCTTCTTGTTCCAAGCTTTTGCCCAGTAAAAGATTTCCAAATCCCTGACGTCTTTCGCACCGCCTCCCCAATGTAAGCTTTCGCATCGCTCTGCGCATGCAGAACGCTGTCGCTCGTCCTTGGATATCTCCGAGGGAAAAAGATACAGAAAAAAAAATGAAGTCACAACCAGTGCTGGTAAAACAAAGCAATAAGAGTAACATACCCCCACATAGCTTCAAACGCCTATTCAAGGAGTGTAATGGCCGTTAAAGACCGTCATAATTACAAGCTCCTATATCCTCGTCACAAAAGAGTAAAAAGAAAACCATCGTCTAAACACAAGACGATTTGAGAGGAAACCATATAACCCAGCTGTTCTGCACAGTTCCCCTTGTTATCCGGAAGGGAAGGGTGCATACCGAAAACTTTCATATTTGATAGATCTTCAGCATATTATTGCCACTCAATATAAAGGTGAGTGATTGTGCAGTCGTTTTTTTTTTACTTCTTTTTTTGGCGTTTCTTTCATTGTTGCGATTGTCGCATGCCACTATGTAGCTGAGCCTAGGCCCGGCCACTAGTGCGTAAAGTGATGGCTTGTTCAGCCGACATACAACGTTCTGCGCTACACACCCATGAGCGCATCTGGGTTATCTCTTCCGCTTCTTGGCTTTGTCTGCGGTCATTACCGATGAAGGGGCAATAGGCGCAGCTGGTAGAAGTGTAGGTTGAGTAATGGTAAGGCCTTCCTCTTTCTTGATGGGTACGCCCATATGTCGTCCATAACGGCCCTTGCGGCCATTACCCTCGTCCTCACTGATACATTGATCAGCGGAGAGGCCAGCGTCGCGGCAGCGTCCGCAAGGCCGCTGGCGATCGCAACCTTTCTTGCTCTTCCTGCACCGTTGGCAGCGTGGCTTAGTAGACAGGTCAGGCTGATCATCTTCACCTTGCACACCTAGGGTGGTGCTTGAGACGACAGATTGTTTGCGAGATGGCGGTTGCGAAGCAGGGGAGATGGGAACGCCAGGAACAGAAGGCGCCTTCTTCGCCTTTGCCGTCGATACTTTCATAGACTTGACAGGCTTGGGAATAGCAGAAGCCTTGAGCTTAGGGACGGGCTTGTTCTTAATAGATTTTGCCTCAGTGTTTGCTTCGAACTCAACCTCGTCAACCTCTGTGCTGGCAGTGGGCACAGGGTGCATTTCTGTGGTTGGGTAAATAAGTCGCGATGCGCCTGACATGTCAAGCTTTTGTCGACGAGCAGCAGGGAGCTCTTCTTCGCTCTCACTGTCACCGTCGCTGGTAGCGCCAGTGGACGAGGTAGCATCGGCCTTGCCACTGAATGTATCGTCAAGTGTCGACGCCGACGTTCTGCCATGGGAGATGTTGGACATGTCGCCAAGGCGCATTAA